TTTTTTTAACTATTTGAAAATGAAAAATATTCCATCAAATAGACATGACAAAAAGAATATTAAACATCCCTTGTATACCAGCTTTTTCACATTTTATTCTGTTATTAAAATAAGCAACATGCCTAATTTGCTTGGCCATATTTTTTGTTGAAAGGAAAAAATTGGGAAAACCATCCTTTCTATCCTTATTTGAGGCTAACTAACTAATTAACCTTCCAATTATTTTCTCAATTAATGATTAATTGTTTTGTATAGAAAATGTCAGAAAATGGTGAAATCACAATTTCCTAAAATCCAGGGTCACATCTTCATATTTCTACAGTCTAATAGTCTAAAGATATTGAGTTCACATATGACGAAGGAAATGAGCAAATCCTCACATTGAGAACCTGGAACTAGCTGGAACTGGTCTGCAAAACCAGTGTTTGGCATTTTAGCTTTAACATTTGCAATTAATTTTCTGTCGGTGTTGTGTAGGTTATGATATAAAAAAATTATATTAAAGGATATTAAAGCAGCATATTAAATCTCAAAATGGACAAATTAAAATTTCCATTTCCACCTGTGGTGCCTCACCCTAAAAGGTAACATGTCATTTTTTAAAAATTGTGTCAGACTTAAGTTTGATTTACTTGTACACAAAGCAGCAAAAGATGACAAGTCCAGGCAGGAGAGTGAAGTGGGGAGAGAGCAGGGCTGCTGTTGACGGGTATGGACGGTTTGGATTGGACGAAGCAGAGGAAATGTGGGTGTTGGAACTTGTCACATTAGTTTCCGTCCCACAGCAGTAGAAGGAGAAGGTTGTCTCTTTTCTACAGCGGGCAGAATGAAAGAGTGGTGTTGTACGGTAGGCAGCCTAGTGCGGGCAGACATCCAGGGCACAGCTGGACGTGCAAAGCCCCTCCAGAGCAGGGACTCTTGCCACACCGCCCTGCCTGCAGCACAGGCTACATGCCTGGTACCACACGCTGCTGCTGCATGCCTCCTACGCTGCTACTGTACAACATTGCTCTTCTCCTCAGGCTGGCATGTTTCCTGCAACCACACTGCTGCCATCATGTCCACTATCCTCCTCTGGAACCAAGTGTGGCAAACACAGCAGTCGATCTCAGGCTGGTGTGGTCTAACACCTGTTCAGCGGTCATTGGTCGACATGATTTTTAAAATTTTTACTACTTACACGTGATTGTAGGGAGCAAAGCAGCAAGCCATCATGTCGAAGAAACTTATAGAATTAGCTGCATGAAGATATTTTTGTATGTCAGCACAAGTTACACAGGGACTGTGTGTGTGTGTGTGTGTGTGTGTGTGTGTATGTTTTGGACACCCTTTTCCTCCATTCCCTCCTTCCATCATTCCAAAGTGGTAAAAGGAAAAGAAAACTTGTCAGACGTGGAGAGAGTCATTTCTCAGCCACCTGTCTCCAACAGAAACACAAGGGATAGGGGTGTTTTTCCCCTCCTCACATGAATAAAAAGCGGGAATCTTCGTCTCGTTCCAGCAGATCTGGGAGTCGCAATTTTCAGCGGATGCCGCAAACTGTTTCCTACATGCTCAGTGAGCTGTAGCGTGGATTGTGATGCGTGCACACACACACACATACATACTCCTGCCGCCCGCACTCCCTCCTCTCCTCCTCATTTTTGTCTTTCTTTTTCTCTCCCCTCTGGGCTGCCACCGCCCACCCTCACTTAACCCTGGCTGGCCCTATCCTGCAGCTCCCGTACCCCTCCACCGCTCCACAGTGATGGATTAAAAGCTCTCTGGCCAGCTAAGCCGTATTGTGTAAATAAAAGTTGTAGACTTGACGGGTGTGGAGGGAGACGAGGAGAACTTGTTGAGTGTGTTTTTGGGTGGGCAAACGGCTGGGTGGGTGTTGGAAGGTGTCACCTTCGCTGACACAGCTGTCCGTGAGGAGAACTGGAGGGGGAGAGGGGGGAATGAAAGGAGGGAGGGAGGGAGGAAGCTCAGCTGAAGAAGACTAAACAGGGTGTCTGTTGGAGGAGCAGGAAGTGAAGGAGACGATCCATCAGTCATCACACCTCTATTTTCTCTCTCTTTCCCTCTCTTTCTCTCTAGGCCGGGTCGACCACAGCCAGCGGCAACATCCCGCTGGTGCTCTACGACGTTTGGAGGAGCCGAGGCCTTACAGGGTGAGGCTGTGTCTTCATTTCAGAGAAAGTGCCATCACGATTGTTTAAAAACAGCCTGTTCACACAACCCCGTTTTTTTCTTTTTTATATCCCTGCCCATAAAAAAAACTTTTATTTTACATGATTTGATTCAACTCGCCCTGATCCCTCACATAATCATGTTTGATGATAGAGTTGCTACTCTGTGGGGGACACAAATTTACGGGCGCAGCTGAAAAATGAGATGCATAAAAGCTTTTCCTGCCGACTAGCGGTACCGTCCTATTGATTAAGGTGTTACGGGGGCCAAGTGGAAGGGTTTATTTGAGTGTTTTGATGTGTTTATAATGCGCGCCGGACAAAAGGCCAGGTCTAATGGGGCCGCAGAGGGCTGCCAGTACTAAAACAAACCCTCAGTTGCTGTGAATAATAGGCCTGCTTGTGTACAAGCCGCTATCATTTAGTTAGGATGCACCTCGGCTTAATGCTCAGAGCAGATTTGGTTTGGGACTGGGCCAAACACCAGTGGGACATGTCTCTCTCACAAACACACACCACTGTGTAATTGTTTGTTTGTGTAGGCTGAAGTGCTGGAATCTAATCATAGAGAAATTACATTTCAGCTTTGTGTTTTAATATGAGCCAAGGGTGATTCCCTACAAACTGCTTTCAAACATCAGTAATAACCTAGCCTTCAATTTTAATAAAGATCATGCTTAAGACTACTGCACGATCTCACTGAGGTGGTAGTTGGTGGGCCCCTATGGAAAAGCCTAAACCCCTCTCTCACCTCTGGAGCAGTAACCAAGTGGTAATGTACGGGGGAGCTCTTTGATGCCCGTCCCCCACCTCTGCACCGCGCGGCAACCTTTCATGTTTTTCCTCTCACCCTCACTATCTCCTCAACCTGTCCTCTGAGGCCAGCTGTAAAACTCACTCATATTGTCCACCATAAGCTCTACAACATGATGAACTCCTGAAAAATCATTTTCTCCCTTTATATTGAGGTCACCAGAGAGGGTTGGGAAAATAAGAAAAAAGAGAGCAACTAAGAGAGACGAGAGAATGAAATGCAAAGACAAAGGAGAGTGTGTAGAAAGTAGAAGGGGGGCCTGTTGTTCCGCAGGGCCAAAGGCCTGGTGGTTGCGCTGGTGCATGCCTGATACAAATTGCTGGGGCTTTAAAGCTGTAATTATGGTAATAGGCCCAATTGCAGTGTAGTGAAGCTCTAAAGTGCTTCCATGTGTGTGCCATGCCCCAGAGACCCCGGGTTAGCGGAGAGCGGTGGAGCTTACACCGGCCTCCCCCAGTAACCTGCAAAACTACCAAACTGCACCAGGAAACAGGTCTAAACAAAGACTAATAAGCAACATGTCCTTCAGTCTGTCTGCTTTGTGCCATATGTAAACCAAAATGGAAGAAAAGTTAACAAATGATGTGTTTCTACCGCATACACACAACAAAGCAGAGACTCTGGAAATTTGTGGTAAACCATAATTGTAGTTTCGTGGCATCAGGAGTCTTTGTTCTTCACTGTAACAAAGTAAGAAGTTGAGCAGTTTGAGCACTTTCCACCTATTCAAATTCAAATGATATGAACACACTTTAAGTAAGTGTGATTTAGGTGTAGAGTGATGTGGTATAGCAAGCAGCTATAACTGACTCTGACACAGTGAAGAGCAACTTTCTCCTGCCAATCAGGGCTTTCTATTTGTGGAGACCCAGATGATCCGCAAGTGGAGCATTTCTGCTTTATTAAGCATTTCTGGGAAGATTAAATCCATTCATATCCTTTCGCCGTGCAAGGCAATAATTTCAGTGGATGTAGCTAAAAGATAAGGCTGGCTTTAATTTTTTTTTGTTCTGAATGTATCCCATGAAAAGTAGTGCCAGTAGTGCCTTCAGTAGTCCCTTTGTCAATACACCCCAACCTCCCCAGCTTGTAGTTTTTAGCAAATGTTACTCAAACAGGAGTAAATGTGATGAGGACTATTTTCAGCCATGGATCTGGTGTGCATCCAGCAGGATGTGGGAATGAGTCAAAACATATCACCCACTGCAACTGTGTGGCTCACTGATGTGTTGGAGCTCTGCGGCATAGGGATAACTACATAAGGCTTTCGCTACACTGACAATACTTGTCAGTAGGATACACTCATGGGTTGTGTTGGTGCGGTTTGTTGACGATGGGGAAAAATACAGAACATTACTAGACCTATCCTTTAAACAAATGGTATGCAAATGATGAGGGACACATCATTTGTCTCAGAAATTCCAGTAGACCCACTGAATGCCTCTCAATGAAAGAGTCACATAACTAATAACGGCTATCTCTGATAACCTCAGCACTGTTCCTGTTCCTACACAAGCCTGAAATCAGCTCCCACATACATTAGAAGATTTCCAAAGATTATTCCCAACTGCAGCCAAGACATTCTCTCTGAGTTCACCGCTGTGTTCTTCTGCTCTCCTGTCATGCCTTAAAACTATATTTAGTCCAATTCCTCACGAGAGCGAGCTCCGGCTGTGCTCTGACGTCTCAGAGGTCCACAGGTGGGCCCTGATTCCAGACAGGAAATGTAACGGTAGTCGAGAGCTGAGACAAAACAAGAGCGTTGAGTTTTAAATTTAGTTCATTCCTCTCACTGCTGGCAGTCAGTCCAGTCACATGAGAAGATGGAGCGGGATGTGTCAGAACTTGTTGTGTCTACTGTGTTGTTGTTTAGCAGCCCAGCTGTTTTGTCTCTTCGCTTTCCTCTCTTCCTGTCATTGGATTGTGATTAGCTTTGGAGCACATGTCATATTGTCGTGTAAGTAATGTTAAGTACTCGCCTGGAGCGGGCCTGTGGCTTATGTTTCAGCAGATGGTGATAGAACGCCGTGTCGAGATGGAAAGAGCACGCTGAAGGGCAGGACAACGACCTCTGACTAATGTCTCCACGTTTATTTGGAGCATTTACACCAGTCTGTGCTTACACAAACACACTTGGATTCTCTCTCTCTCTCTCTCTCTCTCACTCACTCACTCACTCACACACACACACCCACACGCACTCACAGGCACTCACAGGCACTCACACTCTCTTTGTGTCTCACACCACGTTCACCTAACCCTTCACTGGCCGTCTTTTAAAAAACACCCGATCCGGGCCGGGGTATTCTGAAACGTGGAGTTGCGTGAATTGTTGGGATGTCTGGGAGATCCCTGACATGCTTGCCACCTTGTACAGCTTTGCAGTCGACAAAAGTGACATACAAGACAAATAACAACAATCTGTGACCCAAATCCTAAAATTCCAGTTAAAAAGCTGCACCCAAGTGTCTAGAAATAGTAGCTTAATGTAGGGCACTGAAAGTTAATAAACTACAGCGCATGCACAGATTCTTGACAGAAAAATAACATATTTTATTTTTACTCAATGGCCGCATACTAACTTTCGTATGGGATACGTTATCGTGTCAGGTGGTCTGTTTTTCATAGCATGTTGGTTGACCTTGAAAATAGCAGTTCCATATGAAAACAAAAAATAACCTTAATTCAAGGTCGACGTACTAGCTTATTTCTCATCAATCATGGACTGAAGCCAAGATCAACCCAAGCCAAATCCCAAAATCCCAGCATGAATGTTCCATCGTGAGTGACGCTCATTAGTCACTAGTCACACACTCCAGTGATTTAGTATTGCACTTCCAAAAAGTTGGGGGACGCGCAAATGACGAATGAGAGAAAGAATGGTAAAAATGGAAGCATCAGAGGCAGAGATATCCTGCCTTTTAGTCTCTAGTCTGCACCAAACTCCAGAAACCCCACATTTCCCATAGTGCAGCTCAGTTGCCTGTATATTTTTGTTGTCTCCAAACCAAGGCTGAGCAAACTTGATTACACTTCGGGTCTTATTGGATCCCTAAGTGGTTTTATCTCATGGCGACAAATAAGAAGGAGCTGGTAGAGATCTGACGTAGTGTGGAAAATATCTGTCAGCTTTTCTGTCACACAGTACCAACCTTTTGTGAGTCTTGTAGCTGTAGAAGCCTTTTTCACTGAAGACACATTAACATTTCAGAGTAAAAAAAACCAAAACACAGGTATACATGATGAAAGCAGTGATGGCTGGATTCCATTTAGCTGCTTCAGTTTTAGGGTCCCTACTGTGCATGCCGGCTCACCGTCGCATTGGCGCGGCTTACTGGAACACTCAAATAAAACATTGTTAATGTGAAAAGGCCCTACTCGAGAGGCTTCTCTGCAGCATCTGCTCGAGCACAGCTGATGGAATCCAAACACAGTTTTGTGATATCTCCGAAGTTTTTCTCAAAATCAAAACGGACAGAAACGCAAGTACTAACACACACACACCCACGCAGATGATGAATGCAGACATTTTGTGTGCGTAGACAGTTTTACACACTTTCTTCACACACACGCGCGCGCACAAACACACACACACACACACACACACAATACTCTTCATCTATTACATCTGGTTTGGATGGAGCCAGACCATGTGAGTGCGGGGGCGTATTGGCAGACAGAAGGTGTTGGTAGGCAAATACACCGCGAGGGAGAGAGAGAGAGACAGGCAGGGAGAAACGGGGGGAAAGAGAGGGAAGAGAGAGACACAAAAAAAAGGCAGATGAACAGACGGGACGAAGTGAGCACGTGTCTGAGAAGTGGATGACGCAGCAAGAACAGGAGACGGAGGAGAAATCCCCGAACAACTGAGCCAGCTGAGGGGGCCGCCGCTGGACGGACAGACAGAGAGAAATGGATGGATGGACAGCAGAGGGACATGTGTGGATGTCATCTGGCCATCAGTCACGCAGAGAGAGAAAGAGAGAGAGACAGAGAGAGAGAGAGAAAGGAGGGGGTGAGAGCTCCAGGGAGGCCTTGGGGTGGGGGCTTGAAGCCTAATCCCAAAAACAGCTGTGTGTCGTGGGGAGGGTGGGAGAGGTTGGGGGGGCGGTGGTGGTGGTGGTTCTTGGGAGACGGGTGCTCTCTCATGGCTCATCACATCCTCTGACCCCCGCAACGTCACACAGCTTCTCCGTGGGCCTCAGCCGCTGCTCCTCGTGGCCCCTCTCCCTCGCTGTACAGCGGCTCCACCAACAAGGCCTCATGTTTGAGCCGCTCCCATGGACCCCCTGCACCCGTACACGAGTCCCCGCTTCCACGAAGGAGCCGTAAATCACTCGCAGATACTGTTGATCGGTGGAGGGATACACGATACAGTCTGAGCTGCCCTGGGCTCCGTTCTTCGTGGAGATAATTAAAGTTGCAGCAGGAAAACTGTGGAGGAATTAGCATGAATTTCCAAGTACAGAACACAAATCTCCTTCCTGAATCTTCTGCTGTGGAGAAACAACTTTTTTTTATTTTAACTATATGCAGGTTTATTCCAGCCCCCAGTAATCTTTTTTTTTTCCATGTCATCTCTGCTGTGAACACATTAGTTTTGTCTTTGTGGATTTAGCTTAGCCAAGATATAGTCAAACTAGTTCAACTCAATAAATTATGAGGCAATGCTGTATTATTTTAGTAAACACAGTTAGTTATTCTGAAATCAGAGACATTTAGTTTGATAACTATAACCCGTTTGCATTGCTCCGACTATATTTAGCATATGGATTGGCTAATGTGTCAGTAATAGGTCGAATATAAATATACTAAACTGAAACAGCACTATTCCATTAGCAACAACATTGTTAATACCTTTTTTTAATATTTGAATATCTTGTGTCATTGTATAATTGCATCCAGTGATAATGAGCATCAGCCTGCATATCACAGTCTGTTATTTATTTACTTAAATAAGCGGATCAGATCAGTTGTGATAGAAATTAACTCTACAACAGCAATGGAAGCAAAACTGTGATGATCAGGAAAGAAATCCCAGAAACACTGATCGCTACTGATCGGCTTGTATTTGAATATTAATAATAGTGATTTCTGCAACTATAAAACATCTATCGCTCTTTCTCTTCCTCTTCCTCCAGTCTGTTTGCAGGCAGCATTCCGAGGGTGACCTTCATCAGCGTGGGTGGTTTCATCTTCCTGGGAGCCTACGAGAAGGTCCGCCGCTCTCTGCTATAGCAGCACATCCTCAGCGTCCGTCCTGAGCCCTGACCTGGTGGAGGAACCGCAGGGAGGCGGCACCCCCGCCTGCACCTCCATGCTGCCGGGCCCCCGAGAAGCAAGGAACACCTGGTGATCGGGTGGGAAGAGCCATCCGTGCACTCTGATCGCATTACCCAGGGTGCTGCATTCCTGCTCATCAGTGCCCCGCGGGTTGAGTTTAACAGCCCGAGCTCACGCTTGCGTAACGGCACCATCGGTTTGGTGAAAGGACCGCGTCACACGAGACTTGCAATGAAGCGTATTTACTGTTCAATGTGTACTGTGCGTGGATCAATAAGTTATGGTATTAAAGGCCGTCTCTTTTTATACTCTGAGTGAGGTTTGGTGATTCATTTGGTTCTCTGCAGACTCCCTCTGCACGGCTTCATGGTCACTTTAGTGTTTTATCAATATTCCTCTCTCTGCTAAGCCAGGCCACCTGTGTGAAAGAGCGGCCGGGGAGAGACACAGTAATATCTCACCATTGTTACATTCCCACTGGAGCACAACTGAGCTCATCCACCTGCGACAGCTTTATTTTATTCCTCAACAATAGAACACTTTGTTAAATTAACTAGGCTTAGGGTTTATTAGGAACCTCAGGTGTCACATTTGTGGGTTTATCTTTGTTTATTGTGAAATATTTATTAGGTGATTGGAAAATGGTATCTTCTGTTTTTTCATACTTTCTAATTGTGTTTCATTCTTTGACAAAAAATCCTCATTTGTCGTACATGGAGTTAGCTTGATTGGGTGTTTGATGGATTTGACGTACACAGGAATGATTTACATTCTGAAGTTGATTTTGTACTTGGAGTTTGTGTCAGTCTGTAAGGAGTAATTCCTTCATCTCAGAGCTCTGAAAGTGCAGGCCTATTCAAAGTTACAACCATTTGTTAATTGCATCAATAGAGCATGGTGAAACTCCATTCTTCCCTCAAATGAAGATACTTGTCACTGCAAACAGTTCTATGTGGCGAAAAATGAAGTTAAAACAATAGTTTGACGCTTTGGGAAATGTTTGTTTGCTTACTTGTCGAGAGTTAGATAAGAAAACATCTCTTGCTTCTGTACGCTAAATATGTAGCTACATTCAGAGTACACTTAGTTTAGCTTAGCATAAAGACTGAAAACAGAGGGAAACAGCTAGCCTAGCTCTATCCATAGGGAAAAATGTACAAATAATTTGCAGATTTATATACAGAGGTGGGACCAGCCAGACCCCAGGTAGTTACTTGTCCTGACCAAAAAATGTGAATAGTCATTTTTATACTTTAGTTTTCAAAAGGATTAAGATATAATGTGTTAGTGTTATTAGTTATAGCTAGCTGCTTCCCCCAGTTTCCAGCCTTTGTGCCAAGCTAAGCAAAGCAGCTTCATATTCACCATACTGACATGGTAAATATGCAAAACGATGGATAACTATAACATGATTGAAAAAAAATTTCATGTGAAAAAATTCAGGTTTTCCCATGCAGCTATGCACTGTCAAGTACCAGCACCAACTAAGCAGAACACAGTTTAATAATCTGTTTCAGCACATAGAGCAAAGCAGTCCACACGCTAATTAATCTGCTCCGGCTGTCTGTCTCTGACAAGACCAGCCTGAGCCTAGTGTTAGCTATATGCCTACATGGTCGACTCCCGTGGCTTCACTTCTCCTAACAAGTGATAGCGTCTCATCAACAAACATAAAACTGAGAGCACAGATTGGTATGCAGAATCTTTTTCAGTCTGTCCCTCTAGTAGATAGACAGCAAGAGCTAGCCACCTGGAGTTACGGCAACAGTCCCGTAAACTGTGGCAGGTTTGCAAAGTGTCAAGACTGCTCATGTAGCCAGCTATCATCTCCATTACTTTTTGACTGAAAATAACCTTTTTTACACGTGTGCAACAACACAAATGAGAATTAATCCAATTATTTGTTATATGCTGCCTTTTCCAACTTTAGATCCCAATAATGTGCTCAGCTCCTATCCCTCCTTCTACTTTTATTCCCGCTTTCTTCTTTGTTCTCCTGTCTTCCACAGCGAGTCCTCCCATTCAGCTGGTGCATCCATACAGCCGAGTGCACCCAGCTGCATGGCAATTACAGGTGGGGTTTGGAACGGTACACAACAACAAGACGCATACATTATTAAATGAACCCATGTTCAGATGAAATTGCTAAGCCAGCCAATAAAGGTAAATTACCAAAGACAAAATGCGGCAGCTAGAAAGAGAGAGAGCCCTGCCCGAAATTGCATTGCATTAATGAACAACATCATTTCTGAAAATGGAGAGGAAACACGGAGTTGCACCTATCAGCGCAAGACAGAGCGAGGCGAAATGAGAGAGAGAGCCAGAGAGAGAGGGAGAGAGAGNNAACAGCTAGCCTAGCTCTGTCCAACACTTCAGAGGCGCGGGTCAGCAGATTTTATTTGTGTTGTTTTACGTGTGGTCCGTGTGGTTATGACCATCAGGGTCGTCTTAATGTTATGGCTGATCTGTGTGTATATCACACAGTGGTCTTCTAATCTCAATCTAAGAAAGAAAGCTTATTTCCCAAATATAAATCCTTTAAGAAAAGTGTTACCATTTAAAAGCACTGCTACTAGATAGAATACAAGATACATTTAACTAGAGGTTTGTAATGCAACCTGGAAAAACCAAAACAATTTGATGGAGAGTTGTCATTCTACAATGAAAGTACATTTTATTGATTTTATTATAAGTAGTATAGGTTGCATGCACTTTTGATGGATTTAAGTTGTAGACAGCATACTTACTGGGAAGTGCCTGTATAAAAGAAGTGTGCAGGAGGAGGGAACGGCATATTTTCCCACTTACTCTTAGTGGTATCTAGCCGTGCAGATGGTTTCAGTTTTATTTGCCAAATTTTTGAGATATCAGCAGCTGAGGTCTAAAACCGAAAACGCCCAGATGAAGTCGGGCTGAATGGGGGAAAATATGGTTTTGTTGTGATTTGTCTTAACTGACCATTTAATTATCAGTAGTTCTGTAAAAACAAATCTGATTGATAACTGCAAAGATTAAATGCATTATTATGATCAGAATCAGTGGATTTCTCAGAGGTTCATTTAATAGTTTATCTATTCAAGATACAGCGTGCTCTGCAGTAAAAGGAGCACTGATGCTTTCCACATGCTTGTTTAAAATTAGAGCACACAGTTATCCAGGAGAACTTATTACAAGATGAACAAATAACTCCTCTAGGTGTCATTGAAGGAGGATTATTTAAATGTCATATGCAAGAACAGTTGGCCGCAGTATCAGCGTTTCCCTCCTCGCACTCAGTGAATCAGCTCAGTGTCCTTGCAGCCGCCACGGAGGTAAAAGTGAAGTCTTGGTGAATCCTGTCGGGGGGGGCAGAGGGAGACGGATGGCCTCACAGGTGGGAGTGTTTGTCATGTCGGTTGTCACTAGGCTGTTGGACAACAATGGTCGGCGTGTGATTGGTGGAGGCCACGGCTGGGAGCAAGTCAATCATACGGTGACAAACGTCCATCTGGAATGCACATTCTGACCCCCAGTCAGCCCCGACTCTGTTGCAAATATTTTAAACAGAACGCAGAAGGAAAAAATATGCCTGCTGTCTTTGGAGCTTCAGGGAGCCAGGACACATTCCTGTTTGGAAGATTAGCTCTCTCTGTCTGTGTGTGTGTGTCTGTGTGTGTGTGTGTTTGGTCCAGGCATAAGCTACTTCACTGCTTTGAAGATCAAGGTCTCTGAGTTTCATGTCTTTGTGCATGCTCCATTTGAATTGATGGCTTCTCCATGACCACTGTGACATGTGAGCGGCGCTAAATGCTAACTCAGCTGTTTGTGATTCTGTTGTCTCTGAAACATCCTCCCTGTTCGGTGTACGCAGGCAGGAAAACAGCACAGAACACTGGCAATAATAGCAAAATGGGATTTTATTAGACACTTCAATGCCATGTTAGACACTTCACTGTTTCAGCTTTGACATTGATACAACGGTTTCAGACAGTTTCAATAAATTACTCAGAACATGAACTGCACCCCCCCCTCCCTTGTCCCTTTTACCTGCTTCACTGGGATTGGTTTTCCAACAGGGATCTCTGATTGGTCTTGTTGGTAAAATCATCTCTGATAGGTGTTATCAGGAGTAACCAGAGGAGCGTGTCCTCCAGTTTACCTTGATAAGGCCACTGCTAACAGAGCACAGCTCAGACAAAGGTACGTTGGCGAGACGCATACATACATTAGACAATGGAACCGCTGCTCTGCCTGATTTGTGAGCCAGTGTATCCAGGAACTGCGACGCTCCTGACTGCATTAACCCTCCATGTTTGGTTAGAGCACATTTCACGAGCTTCCCGACTATTCACAGCAAGACACTGCACCTTTTATGAATCATAATGCAGGAAACATTATTCAGCTGTAGTGATGATGAGTTACGGTTGCGCTGTGGTGGTGTGACGGAGGCAGATTACTGGCCGTTTGCCTGTGAATGCACAACAGTGGATGTTGAGGCACATTACAGCAGTAACACAATGACACAACACATCGTTCTCCCTGATTCTCTGTCTTAAATTTATAGCATAAAAATGGTATAATTAAGCATTCAGCCAATTAAATGTCATGTGCACGTAGCTGTGCATGATGAATGTGACCCAGAACACGTGAGGTGTCCATGTTCATTTATCATTATTGGCTTTTTGCAGTTTACAGAGCAGCTGTTTGAGTTTGACCACATTTGGTTGCGAACTTGTGCCAAACTTTCACTTTCTTGGACAAATAAAGAAACTAATCAGAGTACAAAGAAGAATATTCTCTCCCAACAAGGTCGGAGCAGCTTCGCAGTAACTTGTGTTGTGAAACAGGTGGAAGAGCCTTAATGGTACAGTTTGTATCAACTTTACTGTGTCAAAAGAGGTGGAATGGCTCCTTCACACGGAGGAGGTTCCTGCATTCCTATTGGCAGATATCTCTTTGTGAAGTGAATATAAAAAGTGCTTTAACTGCCCCCCCCCCACAAATACCCCAGCTCGAACCGTCTGATGTACCAAAATAATTTACCTCAAAGCTCTTCCTTCATACAATAACAATGAATGTGAACTGTGTTTCTGTAAGGCCATGGTTGGCAGCGTTTGTCAGAAAAAACATTCAAGTGCAATCAAGTGTTTGTTTTGTTTGCTATAAAGAGTGTACCGGTATCTCACAAAAAGTCTCTCGATATATGCTATTACAAGTTGAGTTTTCTTTGATCATGCAATAAGGCACCGCAGCTGAATGTTGGTAAAAGCTGAAAAAGGCTGAAAAATAAAAATAAAAATACCATCACTCCTTTCTTTGTCATGCACATAAATTCAAATACTCTTTTGTAAAAGTTATATAATATATAATATAAGAAAACTCTTATGTACAGTCAAATGTCCAAAGGTATATTTCTCTTTTTTCCCCTGCACATACATATACTGTACAAGATTCCCTACATTTACATGCTTCAAATGCAAGTCACATTTTTTGGAGCTAGAATTTCTTATTGGTCACCTCCCAAAAGAAGGTTTTTAACTATGTACAGCTGATACGCTCAGATGGGACGCCACCCACACAAGCTCCGCCTTCACACTCCGGATGCCCCCTGCCGCCCCCCCCCCCCCCCGGTTCCTTCAGTCCAGATCCAGGAGGCTCAGGATCAATCGCCTCGATATGAGGTAGGAGTTTATTTCCCAGTGCAAAAAAAAAAATATAGAAGTCCACTCTGCTACTGCAAGTCCACGTTTTGGGCTGGATGGAGTGCCTGCTAGTCGCTGGCTCTCCTTAGGGGGGCGCTCTCATTCTGAGAGGCTCTGAGGGTGTGTCCGTTGGACAGCAGAGTCTGCCTGAGCTCAGGCTCACAGTCACTGTCGAGGCCCGTCACGCCCAGCTTCACCGGCTTGTGGAAGAAGACCTCCTCTGATGGAGCCGGCGTTTGTCCCCCTCTGCTCACTGAAGGAACAAAGAAGCAGAAGGAGAGACGGGTTAGGGTTCGGTCACATGTATGTAGACAAATATGCATTCAGCTTCGGGAAACAGGCAGTGGAATGTATGCACAGGGCTGCGTTGACATGTGGAGGTGAGAATTGGTATTTGGAGGCCAATTCCTCCGGTATTACTCCTTGTTAAAAAAAAAAAAGTTATCCCAGAGCGGGCCCAGACGTGCAGACTGCGGGAGTCTGGCAGCAGTAACAACTCTGTGCTTCTTTACAGCGTTTCCAGAGAGATATCCTGAGGGGCTTCTGGGCGTGCCACTATGATACACTGTCAAATGCTGGTAGGAGCCAATTCATCAGCAGTCACGTTCAAAAGGAATTTGCCTTGACGGGTTCCTGAATTTCAGATAGTTTCTGGTGACGTGAATGACATTCCTAGAGAAGCAGGGACAGTTGGAGCTGAAACGGGTTTGGTCTATAGGGCTGTTGGTATTTTCTAGCAGTTGTAGTGCAGGTCCTCAGGGCTGCATGCTTTCTTTCAAGCGTTTACAGTTAAACACACTACACTCTCATCAGCGTACCTTTTCGATCGTGCTGTAACGTATTGTGGTTTTTGGGAAATCCTTGAATGTCCTTTCGGATCCCGTTGGGTGTCCCATTGCAGAGCGGGGTCGGGTGCGGCCCCGCGTCGTGCTGCTCTCCTGGATGAAAATGAGAGTAGGGTGGGGGAGCGGTGGGGGTGTGCTGTTGGTACTCCATTCCTCCCGCAGGGCTGAACCCGTGCGTAAGGTAGTCGGGGTCTTTGGAGTAGCTGCTGCCGTTCTCCATACAATCTGTGCACACGACCGCGCCGTCGAAACCTGCAGGCAGGGAAAGGGGAAAATAAATGATTTGGAAACAGAAAATCAACAACTGAATGTCAACACTGTGGTTAGGGTGTCTGCTGTAATTATTTCTGATGCTGAGCAGGCAGCGGCGCTCCTTTCATCATTATGCAGCAAACCAGCGTTGCTCTTGGGAAGTGGGAGAGACTGCAGGGGAGTGCAAACATTTGGCAGGCTGAGCGGGGACGGAACTGTCAGTTACCTGCGGTGTCTACAACGTGTCCGTTGGGTTGAGGTCCACCGCTGGCCTCCACGCGGATACACACATCCTGCCGCTCGGACAGAGTGCCCTGGGACGAGAGGTAGCTGGGTACGTCTGGAGGAACTATCGTCTCATCTGGGAGAGACAAAAGAGTCAGACATTAGAACCAGGGCTGAGGATACCGTCAAATATCTTCTTCCTTGAGTTCTATGGGATTAAAGTGGGCTTTGTTAGGTAGACAAAACAACACGTTTTGATGTCAACTTCAAAGATTTTGAACAAAACTATTAATTGATACACCCAAATAATAAACAAAGGATTAGTTACAGAATTAAGTGTTTAATTTAATTGATAAATGATTTATCGCTTTAGTTGTTTAATCAAAGCAAATTGAAAACATTTGCAGGTTCCAGATTATCAAAAGTGATGCTCCTTTAATGTAACTTCTATTATTTTAAATTCAATTTAGAGTTGTTTGGACAAAACCAGACATTGGAACACGTCAAACTTGGACACTTTTCACTACTTCTGTTACTTTATAGACTAAACTATTCATGTAAACATAACCAGCAGATTAACCAGTAACAAAAAGAAGAGTTAGCTGCAGCCCTATGTGGCACATTACTTTCTTTTAGGTAGTTCTCAAACAGGCTCACACAAACAGCTGGACAGACTTTTCTACTAGAAGAGGACAGAAAAAATCACCTGTGTTGGTGACACTGCACTCCTCGCTCTTCTTCCTGGTCTGGTAGATGATGCACACCCACACCAGTGACGTCACCACGATACTCGTCACCACAGCGATGACTATGATCCCTATGGTGACCGTGCTCGGCCCCACCGGCGGCGTGCAGGGGCTGCGGCGCTGATTCACCACCAGCTGGCTGTGAGCGCGCTCCGTGCCCAGGGTGTTGGACATGAGGCAGGTGTAGCGGCCGGCGTCCTCCACCGAGGCGGAGCCGATGACCAGCAGCTGGTTCCCCGGGGTGAAGTGGTGTCTGTCGGAGGGGCGCAGGGGCTGGTCGTTGCGCAGCCAGGTGATACGGGGCGGAGGGCTGCCCAGGGCCTTACACTGCAGGGCCACCGTGTCTCCCACCACCACGCTGCGGTCCTCCAGGTCCTGGGCCAGGTGGGGTGTTTCTGTGGAGCAGAGGAGTGGTTCCTGAGGTCAGCGTTATCCGTCATTCTATTGTTATTCTGTGACATCAAAGTTTTAAGTTTCTGTTCTCGGGTTTCTGGTTGAGCTCAGTTTGTTCACAGTATTGATTACAGGCTGGTGAGTCAGCTGGACAGCCTGAGCACAAAGTGTGATGTTCTGAGTTTGATATCCAACCACTGAAAGCTTATCTCATGATGAGAGTCTCATCTAATGACCGCATTTATACATCTGGAGGTCACATCTGTAGTGCTGACAAATTCATACATTTTAATCACAGCACACAGTGTGGTGGTGTGGTGTGGATGTGTGGTTGTGGGTGTGTGGTGTGTTGTGTGTGTGTGTGTGTGTGTTAAGGTAGGCCTCTCCTCTCAGACTGAGCACTTCCCTTCTCAGTGGGACATACACAGATTAAGAGATTTCACTTAACCCACTTCAGTCGCGCCTCTCTCTTCTATCAATACTTTCTCCCTCTCAGTAACCCCCCCCCCCTCCCATCATCTTCTTTCTTTTCTCTAAATTTCCCCCACTGGGCCTACCTTCCCCCACAAACTCTCCTCATTCCAGTTTTCTGGCCTCCCATTTTTCTCCCTCCGCCACTCTTTTCCAGACAGGGGCCCCTCGACTGTAGCCACCCCCCCTCCTCTCTCTCTCCTTCCCCCTCCGTCTCTCAAACCCAAACATCACAGATTCAGTCTAGAGGCATGGTTGCTTGCGTCTATATTTTACATCGCTGAGTGGATTAGCACTCAGGTTGAACTGCTGTGAAGTCTAACAAGTCTCTCACACTTCGTGCAAAATGCAAATGTGTCAGTAAAATAGCTCCTCTACCAGTCGACCATGTTAAAAATAGGAACTGTTGCTTCGGAGCTCTTTGGGGGAAATTTAAGGCTTGTTACTATTGTGTGGTAGCAAGGAAACCCCCCAACTTTTTTAGCTCTGTTCAAAGACAAAGGACAAAGATGATCTATGTCCCGAGATGGTTATAGGAGAGCAGCTCCATTTTGTTTGATTTAACAGTGTAAAACAGCCAATAAACTGGGAGCACTGAGGCCTGCAGTGAAGCAGCCATGACTGTCCCTCCCACCGAGAGAAGCGAAGGGGGAGGTGGGAATGTCTAACAAACACCCCTCTGTGAGCCCCCCATGCTTCCCCACCATCCCCCTTTGACCCCCAACTGTAACCTTTGGCCCTTGACCCGCCGCAAGGCCACAGCTGCAGAGAAAAGAAAAATATAAAGCCTCTCATTCTGCGGCCTCGGACTGACCAATTCCCAACTGAGCGCCTGAGCTATTTACAAGTGCTCTTTTTGGGCATGTGGGAAAATGATCAACGCTGGGTTACGCTGAGCGCAAGGCAAAAATGTGCCAATATTAGCTCAACGAAACTTTGAGGAAGATACAGACGCAGCTCTTACCCAGCACAGTGAGCGTGGCGTTTGCAGAGACAGTGCCCGCCGTGTTTTTGGCAGTGCAGCTGTAAACGCCCATGTCCTCCGGCTTGACGTCCATGATGAAGAACACGTCGTCGTCGGGCATGACGTGCATTCGGCGCTCGCGGGCAGCGGGGAAATCGGTGCCGCCGTCCTTCTGCCAGGCGATCTGTGGTGCCGGGTGGCCCTCGGCGGCGCACTCCAGCCTCGCTGTGTGGCCCGTCCTGATGGTGCTGTCCCTGGGAGTCTTTACGAAGGATGGGAGAACTGTGAACAGAAGAGAGACAGTTTTTATCAGTGTACTCTTTGCAACGCAGCATCTTTAACCTTTATGCATCCTGGGAAAGTCCCCTCTTTCTTCCCCTGCCCACACCTATGAGCTGGAGCAGTTTTGGGTTAAGAACCTTGACAGCAGTTGTTGGGGATTACACAGCATTCACTTCTTCTACTTTCACAGCTGGTGCTGGCATTTGAATCCAAGCCCACAACTCCACGACACAAATATTTCCGCCATTACACCACAAAGAAAAGAAGCAGCTAGAGGTCGGCTGCAGACTTGGACAGGGAACCAAACTCTAGATAAATACTCCATTTGCAGAAAAGCAGATTGACAGAGCGCAGAAGAGATGGCTCCTGTTAGCACTGACATGCAGCTAAATCAATTTGTTCCGAATACCATCCTGGGAGAGATGGAGGCCCGAGCCAGAGAGGGAAGACTTTATTCAAGTGAAAGAGAAGAACTCAGCATGGCCACTAATCTCAATCGCTCCTCTGTCAAACGGGACAATTGAAACTCAGATAAGTTTAACATAAACAGGCATTTTCATTAGGTGGAAATGATGTAATCACACACCTATCAACACAGATACTGAAGCAATGTTTTTTTCTGTCCATCTTGTCTTGACATGACACTGGAGCTCTACTATTTTTCTGTTTTCCCCTCACATTTTATTTGTCATCATATTTTTCAAACCATAATGACTCAACTCTCCCCCTTCCATAATATTAATAACATTAATGTCCATCTCAACACAAGTTAGTCCTTTACTGAGCATCTGCTAGACAAATTGAGCCCAACATTGATTTAACCTTTAAATAAAAACAAAAAAAAAAACCTACCGTTGACAATGACGCGGGCTTTGCTGGAGTAGGTGGAGCCAAAGTGGTTGGTGATGATGCACTGGTAACGGCCCTCGTGGGCGAAGGTGACGTGCCGCAGGTGCAGGATAGTGGTGTACTCCATCACGCCTCCACCTGAACCTGGCGAATCAGATGTTGTGCCTTGGTGGTGAGCGCGCACATGGGCATAGTTCTCCGTCTCGGCGTGGCGAAGTAGCTCCTGGTCCTTGCGCCAAGCGAAGGTCATGGGGGAGGAGCTGCTGCTCGCGGCCGTGCAGGTGAGACGCACGTCGCTACCGAGGACTGTCACCGTAGTTTCTGGCTGCACGGTGATTTGAGGTTTCGGAAGGTCATCTGAAGGTGTAGAGCGATGGAAAGGCAGAAGTGGAAGGAAGAAAAGAAAAAAAGTGAGAAAAGGCGCAAAAGATTGCGTGTACGGATGGACAGAGGGACGAGATAAAAGCGAGTTGTGTGTGTGGTTCAGTGCCAAACATCAGAAATGTCTTTCAGTAGGTGTCTGCTTGCTATGCATAAATGGCTGTGAAAGAGGCAAATAATGGCTGACGCCAAATGCAGAGCTAAACAAAAACACCACACAAACAAATATGTGCAAGTATGTAAATAACAGAACAGCGCCAAGCTGTCAGTGTGACTCTTGCTCAACACACACGCCCACATAAACACAGATTAAGCACACACATAACTCACCGCACACAAAGCTGCTGGACGGAGCCTGGAAGATGCTGGTGCCCTTGAGGCTCTCAGGGTGGGCGCAGGTGGCATTGACACCAGCCTGCAAACCACGTGTCACCAACCAGTCGGGCAGCCAGTGGAGCTGGCAGTCACACAGGAAGCTGTCGCTCTGAATGAGACTGCGGAGGAGAGGAGAGAGGTAAGTACATGTGGTATATCTCACATCTGTTGCATCTGTAACGGAATATGTGTTTCTGAGAGTGTGTGTGGATGCCAAAAGCACTGGGGGACTTGAGGCGTGTGTGAATGTGTGTCTGCTGCTGGCTGTTTTCTGCATGTGTGGATCTGTACACACACTGTGGGTGATGTGTGTTTGTGTAAATGCAACAGTATAACTCACAGGGTTTTGAGGTTCTTCATTTTACTGAAGGCATCGGTCTGGATGGATCGAATAGCGTTCTCTCCCAGGTTCCTGTTGGGACATTACACATCGTCTCATCAACTGAATGCACATTCCAGCCATACACTCACAGGCTTTCATTAAGGAAGCTCTGACTTCTAAGCAAGGTGGAAATATATGTACGTCTGAGGATACATGCCAGCTTTTCCGTCCCTCCCTGCCCTCATTTGACAAAGGCCTGTGAAAGAGCTTATAGGAATTCCATTTCTTCTGCGGAGCTCGCCATATGCTCAATAACTTTGTTCTTGTGCAGAGGCAGGAAAAAAAGGCCAAAGTTGAGATTGTGCTAGGCTAACGAGAGAGAAGCAGCTGGGTGCTCGCAAAAGCCTCTGTCTTCTCCTTTTACAAAGACGCTATTAAATTGCTAGCAGCCTGCTCTCTGCCAGCTACTTTTGGCAATACTCCCTCCACCACCCAACCCTCTCTTCCTAGCCCTCTCTCTCTCTCTGGCAGGGAGGAGGGGCAGCTAAGCATTGTGGAATACTCACAGGTGTTCCAGGGTCTCCAGGCCAGAGAAGGCTTTCTTGGCCACCGACTTGATCTTGTTTCCAAACAGAGTCCTGCCGTTTCCAAACATGAAGGGTGTCGATAGATGAAGAGAGAGAGAGGGAGAGAGGAGAGGAGGGGAAGAAGAGGGGGTGGGAGGGGGGTGAAAAGAGAGAGCGAGAGAGGGAGAGAAGCACAATTAGCGAGGCTGAATCTGATAAGAGTGAGGGGATTGAGGTATTGGAAATCTGAACTGTGCGGAGATTAGCCCAGAGGAAGGGTGAAGGAGATTGGATGGGGTTGGAGTGAGTGTGAGTGTGTGTGATGGTGTGTGTGTGGTGTGGTGGTGTTTTGGTGTGGAGAGAGTGTGGTGTGTGTGTGTGGTTGTGGTGTGCTGTGAGTGTGTGTGTGTGCACCTGGGCTCTTCAAAGACCACTTTTATCTTTATTAGAATTTAATAGCAATGACCAGGCGGGGCTGTGTATGTGCGTGAGTCGTAATTATTTTCCCCTGCAGAGCTTGTAAGGACATACATGCAACCATGTGAGTGTGTGTCTGTGCCTGTCAAGCCTGGTGTGAGCCAAGAAGTGAGTCGCTGTTCCCTCTGATTTGGGGTCCTAATCTCTTCTTCCACCCTCTCCCACCGCCACCTCCCCCCCCCTTCGTTCCTCTCCTGTTGTAGCCTTCACTTCACAGGAAGAGGACACACGGCTGGTTGGTTCACAATGAAGACCCCAGTGTTCTAACTCATCCGCATGTACACACACAAACAAACGGCTGTCCTGTCACAGGGATGATGAGAGGGTTACTTTGTCTTATTTATTATTTTCAAACTTTTAGGTTTTAGTTTTTTTTAAAAACCGAGATCAACTCATGGTTCTCCTCAGCTTAGATCTATAAGATCCACTTCCTCCCATGTGGCGGTATTCACAAGCTGCTTTACGGAAACCCAGTGTGTGTGTGTGTGGTTGATACTTTGATGTCTCAGCCCTTCTTTCTCTTTTCTGCATCTCTTTTTCCCATGACTCACTTTGCCAGCGTTGGGATGCAGCGGGTCGCTTCCGCCAACGCCGTGACAAAAGGGGCAGGGTCAGAGGGCGGGGCGTGTGAGGCGTTTGATGTTGATGACTGAATGCAGCCCTCAATTTCACCCTTTCTCAGTTCCAAACAACAAGGACTGGGAAAGAGGGAACGAGAGGAGCAGCGGCATGGAGGAGAAATAGAAATAAGCCTATTGGGGAGCGAACCCCTGCCAGCTTGAAGAAAAGCCCTTTCTCCCTCTCTTTCTCCAGTTCTTTCTCTTTCAGCGGTGCTCACACTGCGAACCATCTTGGCTGGACATCATCTTTTCATCCTGCAGGTTGATGATTGCCCCTCAGTGCCAGCCACTCCATGTCCGCTGTAATTTCTCAACTAGCCAACTTTTGACATTGGACTTTTTACTAGCTGTCTTAATGAAAACATCGAGGAGTAATCATGAAAAACAGATAAAAAATGATTCACTGTATCTCCACAGTTTGGCAATAAAGCTACAGTTAAACAATGAAATCATAAGATGAAAGCCAGATTGAACTGGAGGCAAACTGGCCTGAGCTTCTACAGGATGACGGGAGTAATAAAAATCACCTTCGATGTTTCATGAACAAGCCTTGTAAAATAAAAAATAAATTAAAAAAAGAGGGAAAGAGGGTCCCTATAAGTCATTGGGGTCCTGAGGGGACAGACATCTTAAACTCTGCAACCATTAATTGGACTACCTGACCTTAGCTGGCAATGAGGGGCGAGTTGGGATTTGGAGGGAGACTTTTGGATGCAAAGAAAAATCTCTTTCTGACTGTTTCTCTGTTTTTGAAGAGCGGCAGAGAGGGATGAAAAGGAAGGGTCGACAGCGAATGAGAGGCGGAGGGAATTGAAAGAAAGAGCGAGGGGAGACCACTCACAGCTTGTTGAGGCTGTCCAATCCAGAGAAGGCCCCGTTGGTGTCCTCTATTGTGCCTGAGATGTCGTTATGGTCCAGCTCCCTGTGGAGAATGAGAAAAGAGGGGAATAAGAAAGATGGAAGGAGGGAGGGAAGGAGGAGAACAGGGACGGGGTCTGCCAGCGCTGAAGCGTTTCATAGCCCTGGCAAAGGATGGTCTGGAAGTCACGGGTTACCCCCTTCGCCCACATTCCCTCCCCTACATAACCCCTCCTCCTCCTCCTCCCCCCCCCCCCCGCACCTGGCCTTAAGAGCCCCTCTGCCGCTCTGCTCTGCCAACCAAGCGCATTCTTTCCTTAGAGGGGCGGAGAAGGAGCGTGCGTGTGACTATGTGTGCATGTGCGTTGGTGTGTGGAGGCAAACCCAGCACCAGGAAACACATGTATAATTCATGACGGCATGGAGGGACTGGCGGGGAACACAATGCCTTGTGAGAGGCCAAAACAGTTGGGTCTGTTCGTCCAATGGCGGCGGTTATGGCACAGCTAAAACTAAAGCTGAGTCTTAATGAGGTCAGGAAGCAAGCTTAGCAATGGCCAGGCAAAGATAAAAGGGATTCAGTGAGAAAAGAAAGAAAAGGGGGAAAAATGGCTTCTTTCAGAGCTTTTGAGGGTTCCTAAACACTTGTTGAATACACTTTATTTCCCTCTAAAGAACTACCTCTGTAGGTGAAGTCATAGCTGCAGAGGAGCCACCATCCCACCCCTCTGCATGGTAATCGAAAAGAAAAACAACAGAGTTGGAGGACTCCTCTGAGCCATTAAAAGACTTTTCTTTCAAACTTGAGAAAGGCCTTTGAGGTTGATGATCAGCCACACCCTCCACCATCTCCACAATGGTGCCCTCCACTCCTTCTCCGCCCTTTGCTTTCCAAGCATCTCCTATCCCCCTCTGGTTCTTTTCAGTCTCCACTGGCCGCCGTCTTAGTTAGACTGGACAAGGGCTGCCAATTTCCTACTCTTTCTGGCTGGCTGGATGTGAATGGCCATTGCCTTGTTAAAGCAAGGCCAGTGGTGGGGGCTGTCGAGCAGGGAGACCGGGCACAGAGAAGGGGGGCCCCGATGAGCCAACGACCCCCGTGGCCGAATTAGAGAGCAGGCTGGCTTGTTTGGAGCTTTCACACCCCGATGCAGGCTCCAGCCCCATGCCAGCACGACCAGCAGCGCAGGCCCAATTAAAGCTCCCCCGGCTCCTTTTCAGGGCTCAGCCTATGCCTGTCCTCCCCTTCACTGATTAGATTAGGCCTGCCTCAAAGACACAGGGCGCAGGAGCGGTAAAAAAGAAGGGGGCAAAAGATTATGGAAAATGAAGACAGAGATAGTGTGTGTTTACAGGGATGACATGAGGCAATGACAGAAGACACTTAGGATAACGGAGGGGAAGAAATGGGCATTGAATGTGCTTTAAAAGGGTAAAGCCAAAGAAACAAAGAGAGAGCAATTAAAAGACAAGAAAGGAAAACATGACCAAAAGCCTGAGATAGGGCAGTCACAAGCTCAGCTCCCTAGCCCAGCCTCTATATCCTCTGTAACTAGTTATCTAGCACCCAGTGTGCCAGCAGAGAGAGAGGCCTTATGTGCCTTGGCTTGTCACCCAGCTGCGAGAGAGAGCTTGTCTAGCGAGCTCTGGCACAACTCTCCTCTCTGGCTCTCTCACCGGGAGTAGGCATAGCCAGCAGAACCTTGGTTAGGAACCAAGACCCCCAAAGTCTTTCTTCTGGATTTATCCCCTGACTTTCTCCCTTTCATTCCCTCCTTTTCTTTCTTTCGGCCTGTTTGGGCTTTCTGTGCACAAGGTGGATCAGAGGGAAAAGAAGCCTCCGTCTGTATTCATGGCTTCTAAAAGCGGGGGAAGGACCTCGAGGGAGGTGAGCGACACGGAACACTTTCAGATCCAAGTTTGTTGGGAACTAGTGTTTAAAACAAAAACCCCACGACAGAACCAGACAAAAGCAACACAGTGAAAGAAGAAACAAGAAAATGAAGGAGTTGCCACAGAAACCAAGCCAGTAGTGATGCATGAACACCTCGTTTAAAGTACAAAAAACTAAAGAATAGACATGATTACAAATTGAGATCAAACCCGTCTTGAAAAATAAACAACTCTGCTGCCTGAAGTCAAATGAAGTGACTACGTAAGCTTAAATATCGAATATCACAGACGCATAACCAATATTAAACATGTCAGCCTTTACTGCTCCCAGGTGGCATTAATGCAGGGGAAAAACAGCAATGAGTGGGTTCTTGGGGGTCGTTAGGGGCTTGATAATGGCGGTTAGAGTGGGGGTGTACTTACAGGATGCGTACGGCCTTGAGGCCTCTGAAGGCTCCCTCGGTGATGTGGCTGATGGAGTTGTGGCCCAGACGGAGAGTGTGGAGATCCCCTAACACAGCCAGGCTGCCTTCATCCAGACGAGTCAAGTTGTTGTACGATAGATTCCTGGAGAGAGAAAGAGAGTGCGAGACAGACACAGAGACGGAGAGAAAGAGGGGAAAAACAGAGGGAAGAAAGAGAAATGTTCTGTGTGAGGTCTGGAAGGAGATGACAGGTTGGCAGAATGCTGAGGCAGCTCGCGACATCATTATACTTAAATTTCATGGCTGATTCAATGTCTATTTGCCACTCCGTGATATGTTTTTCCATTGTGCCTTTTTCTTCACCACAAGATGTTAACAGAGAATGGGCTTAGCAGACCTTAGAGCTCAACTAAGGTCCTAACTGTTTGACAGGGAAGAAAAGAAATTCTTGGTTGGAACTTAACATGTCTACAATCTCCATTTATAAGCCTACTTGAGCATGTGGTAAACCCCAGGGGAATATACTGTCACTCATTTTTACTGCAGCCCTCAAAATGTTACTTTTGACTTTCATATCAAATCTCTTTTTTTCTTACAAGGCTGGAGGACATCCAAATGGGATGAGAACAGTACATGGATTTCCAAGCAGTTTCTCTGGTTTTAGGAATTTGGAAGGAACTGTAGTAACAAGATGACACCTGACTTAAGGAAATGTTTGGTATAATTTACTTGACAAACAAGTGGAAATGAAGACTGCAATTAGTTTTAATGACTTGTAAGACTGTTTTTCATAGTATGCATATAATAGGTCTTGATAAATCTTGATTATAAATCCAATAAAGGTATCTTTCAAACAGTGGTCAAAGGCAGTATTGTGCATTTTCTGCCCTCTCTGTGGCCCTCACTGTCTGTCTCTGTGGCCAGGCCTCAGGTTTACTTGACCAGTCATGTGTGCAGAGATTCTCCCTGATGACCAGCTCAGCCCGGCCCCATTGGGAATGCAATAACAGGCTCCTTATAAAGACGAGTCACTCTTTTCTATCAGTCATGGGGTTCATCATAACCCCTGATAATAAAAAATATCATATAACCTGATATTACTGATAACTGCTGCAGCGCCGGTGGGATGATTTAGGGATGGCGCTGGGAGCAATCTGTTGGCAAAACGGCAGTGAGACACACACAAAGCAAACTAACATGAACGCCATCTACCTCTTTATCCCTTCTGACTGTTACACATAAACAAACAAAGGCGCCACAGATACCCCAGGCTACCTCGCAGTTAGCAACGCCTCAGCTGAGCAAAGCACTTTACACCAGCAATACGGCCCTCTTGTCAACAGAACAGGGAAGACTCTCAGATAATAACTCCTCATTCGGTAGACAAAGGCAGTGAAGGCGATCCTTCAGTGTAATTACCACAACACAACCGGTAGAGGATTACACACAGGTTTGCCAAACCCCCACGCTTCTGAACTGAGTACAAAAACTGTTGTCGAAGGGCTTGAGTGTTGTTGAGCCGAGCTCTAATTATGGGATAAACAGGCTTATTCTGAGAATAGCATAGCGTATTGAGTGTTAAAGCACAATGTCATTTAACCCTAGGGGTGGTAGATGGGTGATATGGATGGGGTTGGGGAGTGTTGGATTCTCAAGCTAACTTTCTTTTTTTTTTATACTGAACTACATTCAACTCTTCCACTGCAGTTATCATTCCAGGTTTAGGAACTTTAACAACCTTGTACTGAAAGGATTTTGCAAGAGGACATCTGGCACAAGGGTGTTTAGGCTAATTTAAATGCTAGTACTCACAGTTCCCTGAGCTTCTGGCAGAACTTCCATCCATCAGCGTTGATGCGGGCTATAGAGTTGTTACTGAGGAATAACTGCTGAAGGGAGGTCAGGCCGTACAGAGAGCCACTGTTCACCTCTGTCAGGCTGTTGTAGTCCAGGTGACTGCGAAAGACAAAAATTAGCAAAAAGGTATTAAAAGTTAGTATATCAGGAAGTTTTGAGGATCTGAACACACTGGTTTACTGGCAACAGGATATCAGAAGTGTGGTGGTAATTGTGTTACACTAAAATCTGGAGCAGTGTTTCTGAAAAACTGCAGAGCAATTTGTGACTATTACTGTGTTATTTTGCATGTAATTGAAGTAATATGTAAAAACTGCCAGTCAGCAGGAAAAGGTGTGATTACTGCAATACTGAGTTCCAGTAAGTACGAAAATATCTTATAAGGTTTGGTGGGTGAGTATTCCTGTAATAGTCACTAATTGGTGCAAATAGGATTATCCTCTCAGATAGTGCTTGCTCCAAGCTATGTGCCTTAAATCAAATGGGAAGTTTCAGATATTAGGTTTGATATTATATGTTCTATGATTCTGATGTGGAGGGTTTTACATAATGTATAATCCATGGCAATTTTCAAATTTTATGTAATTGTATTATTAGGTTTATGTACTGATCAGGGTTGTTCTTATATACGTACAGGACTTTCATCTTGGCCAGGTCCCAGAAGGCCCCATCAGTAAGTTTGCTGATGCTGTTTCTTTGTAGCTTGAGGACCTCCAGGCTGGACAGACCCTTGAAGGTCAGACCCTCCACCTGACGAATACGGTTCCTGTTCAGCTCACTGCGGGGTGGACAGACAAACAAAAAAAACATTCTTAAAATATTCCCAACATTTCAAAGAAGGAAGACCGTTTCTTACTTTTTTGACTGAGGAACATCTCTGCGTGTAACAGTGAATCTGTCCATCTAGCGCGTGTGTGTGTGTGTGTGT